TCAAACCTATTCTAATCCCTCGTACTTCAGACGCGGTTCTAATTTTATTTGCCAATATTTCTAAAACCATAATAAATAGGAGCGGGGAGAGAGGGCAACCCTGTCTTGTTCCCTTTTCTATCTTGAATTGGTTTGTTAAATTGTTATTTATTACCAATTTGGCCGATTGAGTTGAATATATAGCTTGTATTCCTTTCAGAAAGTCGCCCTCTATCCCCGCCTTCTCCAAACATTTTATCATAAACATCCATGATACGTTGTCGAACGCCTTTTCGGCGTCCACAAACATCAATACTGCCGGTACGTTGTTATTAATCTCCAGGTACTCAATTAAATTTATAACATGTCTAACATTATCCTTCAAAAACCTGTTCGGCAAAAAACCGGCCTGATCCTTGTGGATTAAATCCGTTAGATGTTTTTTCAACCTGTTTGCCATTATGTCCGCAAATATTTTATAGTCATTATTTAATAGAGATATTGGCCTGTAATTTTTGATATTTAATTTGTCGGTGTCCGATTTTGGAATTAAGGTTATGAAAGCCTCCCGCCATGACTCCGGTATTTTTCCATCCTTTAAAATATCATTCATAACTTCACAGAGGGCTGGCGCGAGTTGGTTTCCTAGGACTTTATAGTATTTTGCTGATAAGCCATCCGGGCCTGGAGTCTTCCCCAATTTCATTCTTTTAATTGCATTCTGGATCTCCTCTATATTTATGGGTTTGTTTAGCTGTATTTTCTCTTCGGCCGTTAAAGTCCTCCCTTCACAGTTTTCTAAGTATTTTTCTATTAAGGTTGCGTCCTCCTCTCCTTTTTTATATAGCCCTTCATAGAACTCCAAAAAATTTTTTGTATCTTTTTTGGATCTTCTACTATTTCTTCTTCTACTTTTATTTTATTTATCACACTTTGTTTTTGTCTTTTCCTCAGTTGCCACGCTAATAATTTTCCAATTTTGTTGGCTGATTCAAAATATCTTTGTCTCATTAACCTGATTTTCCATTCAATTTCTTGGTTCACTAACATCGAATATTGTGTCTGTAGAATTTTAATTACTTGTATGCTTTGTATATCTTTTGGGTTCTCTGTCAGTTTTTTCTCTAGCTGCCTTATGTGATTGAGGATCTCTTCTTTCTTTTGTTGCCTTAATTTCTTTTTATAACTGTTCTGCTGAATGAAGAAGCCCCTCAGCACCGCCTTACTGGCGTCCCAGGTTATTTCTGAGCTCACTCCTGTGTTAAGATTCAGTTCAAAGTAATCTTTTAAAGTGGCTTTTGCTTTTCCGATGACTTCCTCGTCCTCTAGGAGTTGTTCATTTAGTCTCCATCTAAAGCCGCCTTTTAATTCACTTTTTAGTTCCAATGTTATTGAGTTATGGTCTGAGAGAGTTCTCGGGTGAATTTCACATTTCGTAGCTCTTAAGGAGAGTTCTCTCGACGTCCAAATTTGGTCTATTCTGCCCCAGCTCTTATGTACTTCTGAAAAGAAGGTAAACTGCTTTTCTATTGGATGTTTATATCTCCAGATATCTATTAAGTCCATATTTTCTTCCAAGTCTTGGAAGGACTTTGGCAGCTTCCCTTGGTTCTTTTTCCCCTTTTCTGTTTGTCTATCGATTTCTGGAGTTGGCACAGCATTAAAATCTCCCAGTAGTATCGTCCTGTTGTTTTCTAATTCTATTAAAACTTGTTCTAATTTTTTGAAAAACTCTGGCTTGTTTGAGTTTGGGGCGTATATGTTTACCACATTAATTTTTTCTCCCTGGAAGCTGATTTGTACCCCCAAAATCCTTCCCTCTTCATCCTTATAAATCAGTTTAGGTTCCCATTTTTCTTTAACATATATTACTACTCCTTTTTTTTTCTCTACCGTGGAGCTTATAAATTCCATTCCTAGCTTTCTATTTATTAATACCCGATTGTGCTTTTTGGCTACATGCGTCTCTTGTATACAGATTATGTCCAATTTTTTCTTTTTCAAAACATTTACAACTTTATTCCTTTTCACTTTGTCATTTACGCCATTTACATTCCATGTTAGAATTTTTAGATTCATTCTTGTTTACTTACTTATAAAACAGTAGGTTACGGATTTAAGTTTCAATTAGTTTAGATTCGAGTAGTTTTACTTTCTGTTTCCTCACCCTCCGCTCCCTCCCCCCTCCCCCCCCGAGTCTCCCCCCAAACCCGCCCCGTCTCCCCCGCCCCCAACCCCATCCCCGCCCCCATGTACCCCTCCCGTCCCACCAAGCTCTCTCTCATATCTTCGTAGAAACTTCCTGATTTCCTGACTTTCAGCAATTTTAAATCTTTTTTCCTTGTAGAAAAAGGAGATCCCTTCTGGGAACTCCCATCTATGTTGAATGCCATTCTTCCTTAGGATATTTACTAACTGTTTGTAGCCCTCTCTCTTGCGAAGGAGTCTAATTGGAATTTCTTTGAAAATGATGATTGGTCTTCCATCTATCACCAGTTTCTTCTGGTAACTTTCTCTTAGAATCTTATTTTTCAGCTCCGTCGATTTGAAGATTACCAGGCAGTCTCCTGAAATCTTTCTTACTCTGTTTTGTTTAGGTTTTACTTTTATTCTAAAAGCATTTTCTATTTCTTGTGTGACTTCTTCCTCCTTTAAATTTAACCATCTTGCCAATTCTCTTATCATTTTCCCTTTAACATCTTCGTTAACCTCCTCTCCTACCCCTCGGAATTTTAAATTTAGTTGTTTTTGTTTCATTTCCATCATTGCCAAATTGTCCAGAAATTGCTCCTGGCTCTTGTTTAATTCTTCAAAGTTCTCTTTTATTTTCTCAAACTCCTTTCTCTGATCTCTTATCTCTTTTTGTGTTTTTTTGTTTGAGTCTTCCAGAGATTTGGTTCGAGTCGTTAAATCTTTTATCTTATTTGATAGTTCTCCCACCGCCCCTTCTATTTTCCTATCTATTGATTTCTGCATCTCTCCTAACTTTTCCTCCATGTGAATCTCATTCTGCTTAAATTCTTCTTTTATTTTCAACCAAAGTATGTCTAAGTCTTTAATTTCTTCATGGCGTGACGTTTTCCTTTCTGCCGGAGTACCCACTGCTTTCTTCCCTTCCTTTCCTGCCATCCTCCCCCTCCTATATTTACAAAACAAAATAGATTTACGTTTTTACGTTTTTAAGACTCTCCCTTAGGGGGCGTACAATCTTATAGAAGCCACTTAATTATTCAGGCAGCAGTCCCGCCCACCACCGCCCCTTTGGCCGTTATAACAATACTTCTTTGAAAAGAATGTTGTAAGGATGGGAAGGTAAAAAAGGGGAGGGGTACACAGGAAACGAGGGAAATTTGATGCAACGAGGGGGTAGGATCCCAAAATAAGTGTCAGGGAGGAAACAAGGATGTTTGAAGACCAGATTCTGTTGTGTTGCTTCTTTTCTAAAAACTTCGGCCACTTATCTGGCCTAATCCGCTTTTATATATCAGAGGGCTTTGTCAGGAAGAAGGTGTCTGTTGTCCTCCTGCTGGAGTCCGAAGTAGCGATTGGGAAAAAGAGCTGATGGGGCACGGAAAAGGGGGGAAAGCGGGGAGGAGGGGAGGAAGCGGGAAAAAAAAGGGGGGGAGGGCAAGGGACGTCACAGGGAGAGGGGGAATCGAGGGAGGGGGGAAAAGGGGGGAAGAGGGGAAGGCGCGGAAACGACAAGCTCACTAAAGGTGAAATAGTAGTTCTGTCTCTTTATATTCCGGGATTAAACTGCAGAGAATGTATAAAAGAGTCGTTTCTGCAAGCGGTTTCTCGTCTTTCTTTCTCTGCCTTCTTTCTCTTTGGGACGCGATTCTATGTTCTTCCAGCAGGGGACTAAAAGATCCCTCACTTGTGGATTAACAATGTCTCCACAATGTCCTCGCGTTGCTGCCGTTCTTATCCCACAGAGTTCCCCGGATCTCCAGTGTTCCAATTATATCCTTCTGAGCTCCCCCAGATTATACAAAATATGTCCGATCCTGCAGTTATGAGGAGGGTGCCCCGTCTCGCTGTAGCGGGCGAAGTAAAAAAGAAAGGAGAATGGATGCAAATGCTAGCTGACTGCGGGGACGCAATCTTCTGCAGATATTCTCTCCCGTTGCTAGTCACTAGCGGGAGGCGGCAGATTCCAAAGGCTAGAAAGAGGAGGGGGTTCGTAGGGCTTTAGCTAATTCGCACCCAGCCGTGCCGGGGAGAGGTGAAGTGTTTCCCTTCTAGTTTTCTTCTAGTTTTCTTTCTTCCCTCCCCTCCTGTCTCCCGATCTGGTCTGGACCTCCGTTCCGTCTCTTCCAAGCCCCTCCTGTTCTTTTCGCAACTGCCCCAATGAAACAAAGTCTCTAAAACTTACTCTTTGTCCTGGTTTTATCTGTCGGTTATCCACTGCCCTGCAGTAACATTACAGGGACTTCCCTTCTCTCTCACTACAGCCGGTAAGTAACTAAGTCTCTTTGTTACAAACTTACGATTTAGTGTCCAGCGCCATCTTAAATCCAGAAATCAGGTCAGGCTCTTAAAACAAAATCCGTTTGCATCCTACGTTCCTCGGACCTTTTCATTCAAATTTTGTCTCTTCCGTTGTCATACGATGTTAAGGACGTCAGATTTTTAGGGTTACAGAGATTTGTCGCTCAACTTCGGTGGGAGCTTGAGGCATAACTGCATGGGGTTCGCAGGCCTTGCCGATGCGCGTCTCTCGATCCACTGCCTCCGGGTCTTCCTCCCCAAAAAAGGAGAGGAAAAAAACCTCCAGAAGCTTGCGGAATCACTCCAACGCCGCTGGTTGCGCTTCTCTCAAGGGGGCCCCCCTTGAGATTAAATTGGGGGTCGCAGTGCCTATGCGTAGCCCCTCAAAGTCCCCATGTAGTCCGGAGAGGTTTTCTCCGCGCTCCCTTCCCGGTGGCGATCCAAACCGGAAGTCGGCCTGTTCCGGCATTCTAATCTTATGTTCTCCATCCCTCTCACTTCTCTCTCCTTTCCCTGTTTGTCCCTCGCAGGCCCCCGGAAGACAAAGGAAGAACATGAACGAGTTTTTGGGGGACGCCAGCATCCCAAGCCACGACCCCCTGCAGCCCTCCAGCGCCTCCTTGCCCAGCAATGGCATCGACACGTGGAAGAACCGGGCTGCCAGCCGCTTCAGCGGGTTATTTGGTTCCGGCAACAGCGCCAGCCCCTTCACGCGGGTACGTTGCCAGTGCCCACTACTGCCGCCCGTGGGTTCCTGCAGGCCCTTTTCTTTTGCAGGTGTTTGCAGCTGGGAAGGGTGTCCTGGAGAGGTAGGGAGTCCCCGCTCCTTGCAAAATCAAGTGGCGTCAGATCACGAGGAAGGGTAGCCAGAGACCAAGGTGGAGACGCATTCATAGAGGAGGCCATTCATGATGGAACTTCCATGTCCAGAGGCAGTTTGCAGGAGCAGCGGGTGGTTCTTGTTGTCTTACTCTGCTTGTGGGCTTTGGGGGAATGGAGCTCAGTGGGTAGAGCAGGGGTCAGCAAACTTTTTCAGCAGGGGGCCGGTCCACTGTCCCTCAGACCTTGTGGAGGGCCGGACTATATTTTTTTTGGGGGGGGAATGAACGAATTCCTGTGCCCCACAAATAACCCAGAGATGCATTTTAAATAAAAGCACCCATTCTACTCATGTAAAAACACCACAAATAACCCAGAGATGCATTTTACATAAAAGCATGTAAAAACATGCTGATTCCCGGACCGTCCGCGGGCCGGATTTAGAAGGCAAGTGGGCCGGATCCGGCCCCCAGGCCTTAGTTTGCCTACCCATGGGGTAGAGCAAGCTGCTTTGCATCTGGCATCTCCAGGTAGGCCTGAGACCCTGGAGAGCTACTGCCAGCCAGTGTTGACAATACTGAGGTAGATGGACAAATGTCCTGACTCAGCAGAAGGCAGCTTCCTAGGTTCCTGTCTGGTTTTCCACTATGGGAGGCAGAATGTCTGAGCACAGGCAGTTGTGGCTCATCTCTTTTGGGGCCAGTTCACCCTTGACCATCCCTCTGGTGTGTGAGGAGGGAGCATGCCGGGGTGGGTGTGGCCTCCTCAAGTCTTGCATGCACACATTTATAGGATGTGCGCGCACACAAAAGCAGACAGTGACACTCTCGCAAGCACACAACCCCCCCTTTCATTGGCTGATCCATGCAGATCAACTAAGGAGGGCAGTTCTTGCCCCTCAGCAGTTCGTTAGAATGGCCAGTGAAGGTTGCTCTCTGAAAGACACAGGCACAAAAGGAAAAGGGCTTGGGAGGGAGGAGGAAAGAAGTAAACTCAAGCCCCATCCATACTTAACCTTTCACTTTCTAGGTGCATGTCCATGCTTTCCTGCTCCGTGTCTGAGCTCTTTTCCCCCACCCATGAAAACCCACTCTTTCGCGCTGAATTGGAGAAAACAGCCATTTTTGTTCCCTCTGGATTGCTGTTTGCTCTGATTCAGCAGTGAAGAGCGGGTTTTTGAGGGGAAAGCGGCAAGGCAAAAATAAAAAGCTGTCGGGCACAGTACCAGAAAGCCCAGACCGGTGCCTAGAAATGTGGAGCAAAGGTAACTGTGGATGAATCTTCAGGCACTAGTTACCAAGTTCAGTAGGTCATGGAACTGGGTCTAAGGCATAAGGAAAGAGCTGCAGCTTCCTTGGCTTCCGGTGGCCTCAGTTATGGCAGCTGGCAGTTGGAAGGAGGCCTGTTATCCGTGATATCAGGGGGTCATGTGCCACTAAATACTTTTTTCTGGGAAGCATCGGTGGGAGCAGGCTGTTCCTTCATACCCTATTTTGGGAAATCGGGGGCAGGGGACAGAATAGCTCAACATTAGATGAAATGATTCTATCCTGGAATCACCAGACAGTTCTGGGAAAGACTATTGCCTAAATCCTTGGAGAACCAGCCAGTCATTGTAGACAATACTAAGCTAGATTATTATTATTATTATTAACAATTATTTAAATTTATTCAGTTAATTTTCAAAAGGAACCGAAAACAACGCCGTAATAAAACCCATAGGTTTAAAACCAGTTGGAGAGAAAACTCTAGAAGGCAATCCTGTTTTTAATAGGCAGGATTGAAACATCCCAACTACTCAAGATTAATTAATAGCTAAAGGCCTGAAGAAGAACAGATGGTTTGCCTGATGCCTAATGATATTTTATTATTCTTTATTATTATTATAAATTACATTTATATACAACTTTTCATCTGAAGATCACAGAGCGGTTTGCAGCATAAAAACACAAAATGAAAGCACAAAATACACATGACTGTAACAAAAACCAACAACCCCTGCCCACAAACATATTTGAAAGGCAATAGATTGCTTAATCAGCCAAAGGCCTGCTTATAGAGTTACTACGTAACACAAATGAGAGACGAATACACTAAACACTAAACAGGCACCGGTGAGTCTCCTTGGGGAGAGCATTCCACACGCAGGGAGCCACCACTGAAAAGGCCTGTTCTTGTGTTGCCATTCTCCAGACCTCCTGTGAGGCGGCACATGGAGAAGGGCCTCAGGTGACGTTTGCAAGGCCTGGGTCGGTTCATATGGAGAGCATGGACCAGTAGTAGCCTGGTTTTTTTGGGGGGGGGTGGCGGGTAGAATCCTATACTATTTTGGTCTGGTCCAAGAAGGCTTCTTTTAGGTCCTTGTCCATCCATGATACCCACCTCAGGGAACCAGCTGCCAAAGGACAGGAAGCTAGGAGAGGATGTTCCCTTCATTCATTCAGCGGGCCGTTATGGGAAACAGGATTCGAACCCTCGTCTCACGGGCCTCCTTTCCCCCTCCCCACATGGTCCCGCACAACATCCCTGTGAGGGAGGCCAGGTTGAGAGGCAGTGGCTGGCGCCAGGTGAGCTTCATGACTCAGCGGGGATTCGAACCTTGGTCTCTCCCAGGTCCTAGTCCGGCACTCCAACCAGGCCACCACCCCTGGCACCGCGCAGCAGCACCCCCAGACTTCCTTTTTCAGCCCTCCTTTCTGTGCCCCTCCAGGAGATGGACAAGATGGAGCAGCTGGAAAGCCGGCTCCACTCCTACAGCCACTTCGGCCTCCCCAAGTTCCCCCAGCAGCTCCGCTTCGATCAGGATTCCTGGGAAGAGGAGGAAGAGGATGACGATGCTACCCTGTGCCTGGAGGACAGCTGGCAGGAGATCATTGAGGGCACAGAGGTGAGGTGGGAGCAGGGCCCCTTTGCCGTCCAGCTGGCGCTTCGGAATTCCAGTTCTGAAAGCCACCCTGAAGGGAGAGAGCTGCTCTTGTGCTCGGGTCAAGCTTGCGGGTTTCCCCTTGGGGGTATGTGGTTGGCCATGGTGAGAGCAGAATAATAATAATAATAATAATAATAATAATAATAATAATAATAATAATAATATATTTATACCCCTCCCATCTGGCTGGGCTTCCCAAGCCACTCTGGGCGGCTTCCCAAAAAATATTAAAATACTGTAATGGATCAAACATTAAAAGCTTCCCTAAACAGGGCTGCCTTCAGATGTCTTCTAAAAGTCTGGTCGTAGTTGTTCTCTTTGACATCTGGTGGGAGGGCGTTCCACAGGGCGGGCGCCACTACCAAGAAGGCCCTCTGCCTGGTTCCCTGTAACTTGGCTTCTCGCAGTGAGGGAACCACCAGAAGGCCCTCAGAGATGGACCTCAGTTTCCTGGCAGAACGATGAGGGTGGAGACGCTCCCAGGTATACTGGACCGAGGCCGTTTAGGGCTTTAAAGGTCAGCACCAACACTTTGAATTGTGCTGGGCTAGATGAGCCATTGACCTGATCCAGCAGACAACTCTTCTTACACTTTTACGGAGAAGGCTGGCTGCTGTGATCTTGACCTAGCTGGGCTCAATTCTCCAATAAAGCTTTAACCTTAACCCCCTACCCCAGTGAAGGTATCTGGCAGCTGATTTAAGACAGACAAAAGGGAAGTCCTTTCTCCCCCCGCACAATTAACTTTGTGGAAATCTGCATCCCTGGATGAGGGGCAGGCTGATGCTAATTTAGATGGCTTTGATTTATTCAAAGGGATTGGACAGATTCAGGGTAAGTTCTGCCAGTGGAACCTCCACTTTTAGGAATAGTATACCAGTATGCTGGGGTCAACCAACAGGGCAGGGGTTTGCTTTCAATAATAATAAAATTTTTATTATTCATACCCCAGCATATCTAAAAACATAATGGCATATCTAAAAACATAATAAAAACATCAAGCATTGAAAACCTCCTGATACAGGGCTGCCTTCAGATGTTTTCTAAATGTCAGGTAGTTATGTCTTTGACATCTGATGGGAGGGCGTTCCACAGGGAGGGTGCCACTACTGAGAAGGCCCTCTGCCTGCTTCCCTGTAACTTCGCTTGTCACAGTGAGGGAACCACCAGAAGGCCCTCGGCGCTGGACCTCAGTGTCTGGGCTGGACGATGGGGGTGGAGACGCTCCTTCAGATATACAGGGCCGAGGCCGTTTAGGGCTTTAAAGGTCAGCGCCAACACTTTGAATTGTGCTCGGAAACGTACTGGGAGCCCTGCTTGTGGGCTCCCCAGAAGCTTCGAGCCTGCCAATTCGCTGCGCTACTGACTTTTTGGAGGAAGCAGGGCTGTCGGCTGATGGGCGGTCCCTTTGAGCCTCACTTGGCCTTGGTTTTCCTTTGGTGTCAGGTGATTGGCAGGTGGCTGGCGCCCCACCCACTCGTCAGAGTGGTCCTCTGGGGGTGGGGAAACCCAGGATGTGGCTGGCTGGATCTAGTTCCCCACCCCTGGGGGGAATGGATTCAGAAGGGGGCTTGTCATATTCTTAGGAAAGTAATGGCAAAAAATAAGCCCCTAACCCTGCCTCTGACTCTTAACCCTCCTAGGTTTTGACACGCCGGCAATGCCACCAGCAGGAAGCTATCTGGGAACTACTGCACACAGAAGCCTCCTACATCAGGAAGCTGAAGGTCATCACAGATGTAAGTGTCTTAGATGAAGGGATGTGTTTAATAATAATAATAATAATAATAATAATAAGTTTATTTATCATTTATACCCTGCCTGTCTGCTGGGTTTGAGGACACAGAAGTCTTGAAGCATATTCATTAATTCATAAAAAATATTTAAATACTGCTCTTCATACACACACACACACACACACACACCCCAGTGTGGTTTATAAAAAAATACAGGTAGCCCCCTGTCTAAGCATGTTCAATATGTGACCCGGAAACATCATAAAGATGCCACTAAAACGTCACTAAAAGGGCAGAATGGGGTGGGGGGGTGGGGATGGGGCAGATCAGGGTGTTTGCAGGCTTTTTCAGTGAGTTTCAATTATACACCATGTGTGCGGTGTCTCAGAACGTAACCCCTGCATAAAACCATACAATGCAAACTATGTATAAAAAAGTTTAAACCAGAAATGGTTTATGGAACAATGTGCTCTCAATTGCCTGCATAGATGCCTGATGGAATAGAAAAGTTTTCAGCAGGTGTTTAAAAGTTGAAAGACAAGGTGCCTCCTGAAACTCTAGTGGCAGGGAGTTCCACAGAACAGGGTTAATGACACTGAAGACTCTGTTCCTTTTTTTTGTCAAATGAGCCACACCTGCTCAGGGAACGACCAACGATGCTCCTGCAGAGGATCTTGGTGCCCCAGCTGAGATATAAGGGTTCAGGCGGTCCCTGGGGTACCCTGGGGCTGAAGCTGTTCAGGGCTTTGTCAATTAATACAAGGACCTTGAACCAGGCTGCATAGTAGACGGGCAGGCAGGGCTGGTGCTTTAACTAAGGCGTCACATGTTCTCAGCCAGATGCCCCCGTCAGCAATCTGGCCACTGCATTCTGCACCAGCTGGAGCTTTCAAACCAAGACCAAGAGCAGCCCCACAGAGAGTGCATTGCAGCAATCCAGCCTTGAGGTTCCCAGTGCATGAAATACAGTGGTCATTCTGTCCCTGCCCAGGAAGCAACCCTTTCCCTTCGCTTAAAGCAGTGTCAGATCCAAACCCCTGGATCATGACCAACATCACCTTTGTTTGCTGGCTCTCTAACCAAACGGCAACCCCCACAACCGAGCCCCATTGCAATAGCTCATTTCTCTCTTTTTCTCTTTCCTCCTCAGCTGTTCCTGTGTTGCCTGTTGAACTTGCAAGAATCAGGGCTGCTTTGTGAGGTAAGCTAGCATCCTCTCCCTTTGAACACGGCTGTTGCCCCAGAAATGTCAGATGTCACCCTCCAGGGCCAAACCTCACTTTCCTGTGCCAGCAAGGGTCTGCCTCCTGCTCCCGGTGGCTTTGTAGCGAAACGCCGTCTCTGAAGCACCCTCCCCTCTGCCCCGCTGGTCTCTTATCTGCTCTGAGGAAGTGGCCCATTTTCTCTCCCCCTCCCACCCCCATTTCTGACAAGAAACCGTCTTGCAATCTTTCACGGTTTGGAGAAATACCTTAACCACACGACACTCTGGCAGGCTTGTGGCACACAGAAGCTATTTAAAGAGATGAAAGAGATATACCCAAGGCAACTCTTGCATCATGCAAATGCTTCTCTTGGGTCCCAGAGGTGCGTTGATCAGGTTTTCCCAACGAAAACACACTCAACCTGTTAGATCGAGAAGGAACGCTGGATAAACGTAGTTGCATCGGGCTGCAGAGCAGAGCTGGGGAAAGGAAGACGGCTCCATCCTTTAGGTGCCTTTAGGATTCCCCTATCCTGGAAGTCACGGGACACAGGTGGTGCTGTGGGTTAAACCACAGAGCCTAGGACTTGCCAATCAGAAGGTCGGCAGTTCGAATCCCTGCGACGGGGGGAGCTCCCGTTGCTCGGTCCCTGCTCCTGCCAACCTAGCAGTTCGAAAGCATGTCAAAGTGCAAGTAGATAAATAGGTACCGTTCCGGCGGGAAGGTAAACGGCATTTCTGTGCGCTGCTCTGGTTTGCCAGAAGCGGCTCAGTCATGCTGGCCACATGACCTGGAAGCTGTACACTGACTCCCTCATCCAATAAATCAAGATGAGTGCCGCAACCCCAGAGTCGGCCACGACTGGACCTAATGGTCAGGGGTCCCTTTATCTTTACCTTATCCTGGAAGTATTTCTTTTAAGAACTGTCGCCTGAGTTTTCAACAGTTGGGATGACTTTGATTGATTGCATTTCTATCAGGCCTTCTTTCCTCTAAGGCAGGCAGAGGCAAACTCCAGATGTTTTGGGACTACAATTCCCATCATCCCTGACCACTGGTCCTGTTAGCTAGGGATCATGGGAGTTGTAGTCCCAAAATATCTGGAGGGCTGAGTTTGCCTATGCCTGCTCTAAGGAGTTCAAAGTGGCATACATGGTTCTACCCCCTTCCTCATATATTCCCCACAACAACCCTGTGAGGTACGTTAGGCTGATAGTCACTGACAGGCCTTAGGTCACCCAGTGCGGTTTGGGACTTGGCACGGTGGGGGAATTTGAACCCTGGTCTCTCCTGGGTCCTGCTCTAACCGCCACACCACACTGCCACCTCTTGTGTTGTGGAATAACAGAATCATATAATTGTTGAGTTGGAGGGGTACCCAGTGGTCATCTAGTCCAACCCCCTCCCCGCAATTCAGGAATCTCACCTAAAGCATCCATGACAGATGGCCATCCAACCTTTGCTTCAAAACCTCCAAGGAAGGAGAGTCCTCCCGAGGGAGACTGTTGCACTGCCAAACAGCCCTTACCGTCTGAAAGCTGAAATAATCTGGTGAAGTGGAATGGAAGGAGATTTGGGACAGATGAGAGGCACTGTAGACTTTCATGCCTTTTGCAGTTTCTTTGTGGGACACCACGTGTTGGAAGCTGCTGGAGTGGGTGGCTTTGAAAGGGGATCGGCCAAATTCATGGTGGAGCCTGGGGGCTGGGTGCATGTGTGCATCTCTCGATGGCTCCTGCCATGGTGCCTGTGTGGCACCTCTGTTCAGAGAGAGCACTGTGCATGAATGACAGTAGCAAGCGAGAGTTTGACCCAGGGGGGCTCTTCTTGGAAGGTGCCTCCAGTGCAGGGCTGGATTTAGGTCTGATGAGGCCCTAAGCTACTGAAGGGAATGGGGCCCTTTCTATGTCCAGCTGCCAGCAATAAATTGTCACTTTTTTGTGTTGAATATATGCTATATGGTAATTTAGGGACCTAATAGGTATCTAAAGCCATTTGCACATGCAGAATGTCGGCACCCTATATAAAGAAATGAGCAAACCAGTGATATTTTAGGGAGCAGGCAGGGCCCATTACTTACATCATAGGAGCCTACATAACACAAAACACTGTTGCTGTATGTAGGTTTTATTTTATTTGTTTATTATCTTATATTTTGGGGGGGGAAATTCCTTTTAGATTTTTTTTGGGGTCCCCCAAGAAAGTGGGGCCCTAATCTATAGCTTGTTTAGCTTATACGTAAATCTGGCACTGCTGAGAGTGTATGAAGGGTCACAGAGTCTGCTTTCCCCCAATCTGCAGGTGGAAGCTGAGCGTCTTTTCAGCAACATCCAGGAAATCATCCAGCTGCACCGTGCTCTTTGGAGAAGCGTCATGGCCCCTGTTTTGGACAAGGCCAGGACCAGCCGGGCTCTGCTAGACCCCACGGACTTCTTCAAGGGCTTCAAGATGGTAGGTGTGCATGCAGTGAGTGTGCCTACATGCGGGTGCAGCCAAGAGAGGATGGTGCTTTGTTCCTGAAAATGAGCAACAGCTGGAGACCATTCCAGTGTCCCAGAACTGCAGCAGCAGAGGAGCGCGAAAGGCCTCCTACCCCAGCTCTGAAGCATGTTCTGTTTTATTATACCAACATGTTGTAATGAAGGTTGAAATCTGGCTGTTGAAGGTGCCACAAATGAGGCAAGTTGCCCGGCAGGGGGCATTGAGAGGCCGAGAAAGAGGGCCTGGAAATCTGGTGTTAGCTTGGTTTTGATCCAATAGTTGGACCCAAACCAGAGCGAGCAGCTTTTCCGGGACCAAATGCAACCCAGACTCCTCGTAAAAGGTGGTCTCTGCTGAGCTGGTAGCTGCAGTACCATCTCTGGCCATCAACAAGGGTGGTGCTGGAGAGAAGAAGGGAAAAGGGAGTCTAGCTCCCAGAATCTGCAGTTTGGGACAACTGCGCAGGGCCAGTTGGGTTGCTCAGGTGGCCCTTGCTCTCCTCCGCTGCTCCTGCCTCCCTGCACCCGTGTCTTTAGTCTGATGCTTTTCTCTTGCAGTTTGGCTCCCACTTCAAGCCTTACATCCGCTACTGCATGGAGGAGGAAGGCTGCATGGAGTACATGAGGAACTTGTTGCGGGACAACGAACTCTTTCGCATCTACGTCACGGTAAGGAGCCTGTTTCCAACCCACCCACCTCTCTCTTTGTGACCATCCTACGAATCCCACACCTGCCTCTGTCCTAAGTTGAGTCCTACATTCAGAAAAGCTGCAGGCATCCAGCACCAGCAAGTCAAATGCTGGCTAGGCAAAGGTGCCAGCGCTTAATGCTCACCTCTCCTAGTTGTGCGGGGGCTGTTTAAGCCCCACACTTTAGGAGTGTTATGTGGTTGGCTTGGTTGGTTGGAGCTGATAGCGCCAAGGTTGTGGGTTTGATCCCTGTACGGGCCAGCTGCTTCTTCCTGCATTGTGGGGAGTTGGACAAAATGACGCCAATGATACAATTCTATAATTAATCCTCTATGATTATTGTTCAACTGAAAGAGGGGAACAATCTTAAAAGCAGTTTCAAAATGGCTCTGGAGGTTCTGGGGAAGCGGTGGGTTGGTGATGGCAGAGGTACTAGCCAATAGGTGCCTTTGCTTTTCCATGATTGGTCCAAACCAGGCAGACAGTCTGCAGAGCGGACTGTTACTGCTTTTACAGAGTTTTGTCTGGAGGCCGAGACAGAACTATTGAAAACACCAAGAATTGGCCATTCTTTAGAATATGAGTCTGTCTTTCACCTAGGGCTCCTTTTGGAAACTGTCCATTCCAGGGCTGGTTGTGGCTTGCAGCATGGGCACCTTTCCAGGGCTGGCTTGTGTTCCTGATGGGAGCTAAGCCCCTGGCTAGTAGTGACAGACTGGCTAGTGGCCTGTTTCTTGGCTCCAGGAACTGACGCTTCCCTTCTTCCACTTGCAGTGGGCCGAGAAGCACAAACAGTGCAACCGGCTCAAGCTGAGTGACATGCTAGTGAAGCCTCACCAGCGCCTCACCAAATACCCTCTGCTGCTGAAGTCGGTGCTTAAGAAGACGGAAGACCCCCACACCCGAGAGGCCATCATCACCATGGTAAAGTGTTGCCAGTATGCCTTGGTACACCTGCTAGCGTAGGTGATGGTGTGTTGGGAGCTGCAAGGAATTCAGCAAACGTTTGCACCCAAATCCATCTCAGGAAGGGCTGGGACTCTGTTGAGATGGGGGAGAAACACAGTTCAGTTTGCATTTGAAGGCGAACCTAACTTACGCTGACAAAGTCTAGCCACGGTGGAACCTCCACCACCCAGAGCAGTCTACCGCTAAGGATTTGATTCCAGGGGAGGACTGCAGCAGGAGAGGGCTGTTGCATTCACACCCTGGTTCTGGGGCTTCCTGGAGACAACTGGCCTGGGCCAGCGTCTCCAAACCGTGTGACTTCCAGATGTTGCTGGATGGATACCCAGCACCCTCCATCAGCGCTGAACCGCTGGGTGCTGCGAGTTGTAGATCAGCACAGCTGGAAGGCACCCAGTTTGGGGGAGCCAAGTGCCCCCCTCGCCTTATTGCTGCCTCCCCCTGGTTATAACCTCTGGCGGGCTTCTCTTGTCCAGATCAACTCGGTGGAGCGCTTCATCAACCACATCAACTCGCGCATGCGCCAGAGGCAGGAGCAGCAGCGCCTGGCCAGCATCCTGAGCCGCATCGATGCCTACGAGGTGGTGGAAGGAAGCACGGATGAAGTGGACAAGGTGGGTGGCGAGGCTGTGGCCGCGACGTGGGGGAGAAGGGTGGGCAAAGGGTGCCCGAGATGGCAGCCTGGTCTGGGTGGGTGGAGGGCATGTCTCAGGCACCTGAACTCTTTTGGTTTTAACCCCCTTTCCTCAGATCCTGAAGGAGTTCTTGCGCCTGGACCTGACAGCCCCCATCCCAGGGACCTCTGCCGAGGAGACCCGGCAGCTTCTGCTGGAGGGAAGCCTTAAAATGAAAGAAGGCAAAGACAGCAAGGTAAGCCCTGATGGGCAGGGGAAATGTTCTTCTTGTTGTTGTTACTATTGTAACTCAGACTAGGGAATCTCATGTGATTCAGCCCGGAACTTCTGCCCCCGAAGCCAGAGGCTGAGACACTGCCTTTGCATGCAGAAAGCTAGGCAGAAAGGTCTTTCCCCTGACATGCTAGCTTTCCATGTGCAGAGAGGGTGGAGAGGATTTTTTTTGGGGGGGGTTACGTTTCACTTGCAGACTAATGTGGTGCACATCCTCCCTTGTCCTCTCTTGAAAGGGTCCCCATTCCTACCCCCTTCTCTCTCCCCTGCCCCTGCATCAAGCTCCATGCAGGATGCTCTGATCGTTTGGGATCTTTTTCTTCTCCAGATGGATGTTTACTGCTTTCTCTTCACGGACCTCTTCCTCATCACCAAACCGGTGAAGAAGGCCGAACGCACAAAGGTCATCCGCCAGCCATTGCTGGTTGACAAGCTGGTGTGCCGTGCGCTCAAGGATCCTGGTGAGGGGTGTTTGTGAGTTGGGTCATTTTTCACAGACAACTGGTATATGTCTGCACTGTAGGATTGACCCCTCGAGCTGTGCCACAGCCACGGCCTCAATCCTGATCCTCCCCTGCAACTGCTTTTTGTAAACAAAGCACTCACTCACCTGTTGTTGTTATTTGTATACTGTGTTATACCCACATAAAAACACATAATACATAATAAAGATAAAAAAACTACCCAATAACTCCCTCTCCCCAATACATTTTGAAAGGGCATTGGATGTCAATCAGCCAATGGCCTGGTTAAAGAGGAATGTTTTTGCCTGGCACCTAAAGGTGTATAATGAAGGCGCCAACCCAAACCTCCCTGCGGAGACCATTCCACAAACGGGAGTTTAGTGTGGATTTTTGTGGTGTGTTCTCCCTATCCATGCTATGTTCTCCCTATCCAGCCGGCAGCCCACAGTTTCTCGACAGTAAACTCAGATATTCCCAATCCGGGGAAAATCTATGTGCATAAGTTGCCCTGAGATAAGGGCTGTGTGATCCTGGCCCTGCAGAAGGTCGAAACCTGCTCCAAAGGAATCCAGATTTTGCTTCTGCAGTCGATGAAAATAAATCATAGAGAGGGAGGAGGGGATGGAATTCCTCTTAGTTTGCACAATCCCTTAGCAGTCCTAAGGAGCCTGATCTTGGGAGGCTGAACATCAGAAGAGCCTGCTGGATCAGGCCAATAGCCCATCTAGTCCAGCATCCTGTTCTCACAGTGGCCAAACGGATGCCTGTGGGAAACCAGCAAGCAGGATTCAAGCGCAGGAACCCTCTCTTCCCTCTTGCAGTTTCCAGCAACTGGTATTCAGAAGCTGTACTGGCCAGGCGCAGCCATCGTGGCTATTAGCCTTCTTCATGAATTTGTCAACTCTTTCAAAGCCATCAACGTCGTTGGCCACCACTGCCTCCTGCAGGAGTGAGTCCCACGGGTTAACTATGCACTGCAGGAAAATTTTACTTCTGTTTGCCTTTTCCTGAGCCTCCCAACATTCGGCTTCATTGGCTATCCATGAGTTCTAGTGTTAGGAGAGAGGAACTCTGGAGAGTTACGCTTTGCCGCTCCTGCAGGAGGCGGCCGCTGACATGGGTGGCTTCAGAATGGATTTGGACAAATTCATGGAGGATAAAGCTATATCAGTGACTACCAGCCAGGATGGCCATGCGCTGCCTCCATGGTCAGAGGCAGCAATGCTTCTGAACACCAGTTGCTGGAAACCACAGGAGGGGACAGTCCTCCCTTGGGTCCTCTTTGTGGGCTCCCCACTGGGCCACCTGCCGCCATGGGACCAGGATGCTGGACTAGGTGGGCCACTGGCCTGATCCTGTAGGCTCTTCGACCTTTTCTGAATCTTCCACCATTCAGCTTCCTGAAGCCGAGCTTGTGCCGGTGGCAGCTTTCCCTTGTCACCTGCACGCAGGAATAACCGCTAACCTAACACCAGACTCCCCCTCCCTTGTCTTCCTCATCAGGTTCCTTCCTGCTGATCTACCTGAACGAGTTCCGGAGCGCGGTGGGAGCCTACACCTTCCAGACCAGTGGGCAGTCTCTGTGCCGGAGCTGGATCGAGGCTGTCTGCAATGCCCAGGTGGGTGCTGTGGGAGCCAAGAGGATTTCCCCCGAAAGGTGGAGGTTGTGGGCACTCTGTTTCCTCTGACTTTGCTGGACTACAACTCCCATCATCCTCGACCAACGCTGGATGGGTCCGATGGGAACGAGTCCAGCAATACTTGGAGGGCTGCACATTTCCCATTCCTACCCAAGGAGGATCTCCTTCATTTGAGATTTTTTAAGAGAGGTCGGATGACCACCTGCCAGGGATTCTTGAGCGGCACTTACTGCATTGCAGTGGGATGGATTGGATGAGCCTCGGGACCCCTTCGAACTCTACCATACTGTGATTCTATGAATAGATTTCTTTTGCTGCAGTTTATCCTCCCCACCCTCTTTCCCAACTGGGGAAGATGAATTCTTCAACTGGGAGGACATCTAGTCAAGCAACACTCCTGCCCTTTGCCTCCAGGAACTGGCATTGAGACTCCCACTCCCTATAGACTTTGTTCAGCTGATATTTATTTTATCTTTTTGTTTTCATTTTTCCTCATTTATTCTACTTGTTTCAGAAAATGCATTTAAAGCGATGCCAGCCCACAATGACAGTGCCCTGTGCCATTTTTTCAATAGCCCTTCACCCTTTTGAATTTTTTTTTTCCTCCAGTGATCTAGAACTCTGGGGGTCTCACTCGAGAACTTCTCCCCTTTGCTTGTCCGCTTTTGGCTGAGGATCTATCTCCACCAAGGGCACTTGCTGGCTCTTTAAATTTTTTTACAATTTTTTTTTTTTTTTACAATTACAATCCACTCTTGATAAATTCCCTTATACCCCAGCTACAGTGATTGACTTCAATTGGTATTAACACATTTAGTGATTTCTAAATTCGCAAGTGAAGTTCTCCTTTCTTCTTCCTGTGTGAGGTTTTAATTTTCATCAATTGTTCCCTTCATTTCTTTATAAATTTTATATCCGTAATAATTATTCCTGGTCTCCTTAGTGCCGCCTTACCCATGCTTTGTTCAACAAACCACAAATTGTCTCACTGAGAGCAAAGAAGCCATGGCCTTTGCTTATGCACCAACTTGCATAAAAACTGCATCTGTTGATTCATAGGCCTAGATGCATCTTGAGCAAATTGAGACAGTGAGTGCTTGGTGTGAAATGTGCTGTAACGACACCCCTCTGCTGTAGTGTCTGCTGCGTCTTTCTACTTATCCCATCCCTCTTGTACCTTCTTGCAGAACAAGTTGCAGCACCTCCGTCTGCAGGAGCACCAGCGCAGCCAGCAGCAGCTGCAAAGCCTTGAGGAAGAAGAGGAGGAGGAAGAAGAAGAAGAGGAAGAAGAGGAAGAGGACGGGGAGAGTGGTGCCTCGGGAGCCAGCTCCCCCACCATCCTCCGCAAGAGCACCAACAGCTTGGACTCACAACAGTGGTATGCTTGGGGCGGGGAGACAGGCAGGAGCAGAGGGGGCTTTCCAGGGGCCACATGCCAGTGCCGAGTGTGGCCGGAAGAAAAGTGATGCTTATTGTGTAAAGAAGGCCATTTTCCAGCTATGCACTAACCAGAGGCTTCACCTCTACACCCACCCACACCACAGTTTAGATCTGCCTGGATAGCTCAGCTGGTTAGAGCGTGGTGCTGATAATGCCAAGGTTGCAGGTTCGATCCCTGTATGGGACAGCTGCATATTCCTGTATTGCAGGGGGATTGGACAAGATGATCCTCAGGGTCCCTTTCATTGAGGTGTGTGAACCAGGGTCCATGAGAGGTGTGGCCTGGGGAGCAGGGATATTTTTTGGGAGAATCCTTAGTGCCAGATATAGAGGGCCACATATGGCCCCGAGCCACAGGCTCTGTTATTGACATAAGGCAGTGGTTTTCAAGCAGTATGCCGTGGCATCCTGGGGTGCCTTGAATCAGGGGCAATGCTGGCCTCTCTCCCTCCAATGCCCTCTCACGTCTCTGCTTCCCAAAGGCATGCACAGCTATTTGTTTGTTGCAGCAGCCCTGGCTGCAAGCTCCCCAGGTGAATGGTGCCTCTGGGGCTGGCTTCCCAGGGCCCTGTTGGGCAGTGTCAGGAGGCGCCTCCTCTTTAGCTCAGAGACCAGAGGTGGCAACCAGCTCCTTCCTGATGTCTCCCTGCCTCTTCTTTGCAGCCTCTCTGACGGCTCCACCGAGACCATCTCCGTGGTGGTGGTAGATGCCAGCGAGGGCCCCCCTTCCCCTGACTTTGAGGTGGGTCCCTTCAGCTCCCAGTCCGATGAAGCATCCATCAGCACCACAGCTTCCTCCACAACACCCACCATGGAACTGGGCGAGGCCCTCCCTGCCAGCACCGCCAACCACTGCCTCAAACCGGAGTCCGGGTCTTGCCGCTCGGCCTCCATCGACAGCGCCTATGGCACCCTGTCGCCCACCTCCTTCCAGGAATTTGCAGACCAGCAGCAGCGGCAGCAGCAGCGGCAACAGCAGGAGGAGACTGGGGGGTCTACAGAGCAGGAGGACGGTGCCCCCACCCCCTCGCAACGGACCAGCTCCCCGAAACTGCGGCGGCAGGTGCCAGTCCAGCTGCTGCCTGCCAAGACCAAGGTGCTCAAGTCCAAATCGGAGGCAAACCTCTTGCAGATGCTGCCAGCCTCCCTGCAGCTGGCCCAGAGCAAGAGCCTCTCTGAACTCTGCCCGGCCATGTTCCTGCTGGGCTCCCCGCGGACTAACGGGCGACAGGGCAAAGCAGGGCGGGGGGCCAGTGGGGGCGGCAGCAGCAGCAGCAACAGCAGCACCTCGGAGCTGTCTGAGGCCGAGGAGGTTCACCAGCCGGGCTCTGCGTTTCCCCAGAGTTGCCCGCCGCCTCTGCGGGGCTGCAAGCGCCTTGCTGGCTGGGCAGAGAATGCCGGGGAGAGGAGCTGCCTGCCGCCCGTCGGACTCTGTCGGACCCGCAGACGAGCCAGCACCGCAAGCTGACGCTGGCGCAGCTATACCGGATCCGAACCACGCTGCTGCTCAACTCCACGCTCACTGCCTCGTGAGTGCTGCTGGGGAGACTGGGCTGGGCTGGGGGGGGGGAGAGGTGGAATTGTAGGCTACTGTACTTAAACTATGGAACTCCCTTCCACAGGAGGCAGGGGTGGCCACCAATTTGGATGGCTTTAAAAGAGGATTGAATAAATTCATGGAGGGGAAGGCTAGTGATGGCTGTGCTCTCATACCCTCCAACATTTTCCAGCAGAAAGTCGGGACGTGTGTGAGCTGGCTTGCTCAGGATCATGGCACCAAACAAGGCGCATGTCAGCTGCCCGCCTCCCCTACCTGGTAGCTGCTCTCTTCCTCCTCACTCACTTCTTCCTCCCATGCTGCACCTCACGCCGCCATAACGGTAGTGGCAACTTTGGCGGAGGCAGAGAGGGACTGGCAAGAGCGTTGCACGAGTCCGTCGCCTCCGCTGCAGTGTGGAAATGCCTTCCCCACGCACAAGGGTTCCATTTCCTGAAGGTTGCCCTGCTAAGTGCAAGCCCTGCCCCACCATCCTCCCATGTTTAGAGCGGGGAGATGGGACATTCCTGAATGAAAGCAGAAGCCAGGGTTTCTTCTGCAATTCTGTGAATTTCCCAGGAAAACAGGGACACTTGACGGTTATGTGCTGTTCCTCTGGGGCCAGAGGCAGTGATGCTTCTGAATACCAGTTTCTGGAGACCGCAGGAGGGGAGAATGTTGCTCTTGTGCTCAGGTCCTACTTAAGGGTTTCCCAATAAAGGCATCTGGTTGGCCCCTATGACAACAGGATGCTGGACTGAATGGGCCTGATCCAGCAAAGCTCCTCTTATGTAGAGGCTTCAGCTCTCTTCCTGATCCTCTCACCCACTTTGTTCCACTACCTCCACCTACACATGCTCTTTTTGCAAGAACTTAGCTAACAGTAGAAACAGGGCTTGTTTTTCCAGTTGGAGCTCAGCTCCATTGCCATTCTAAGAGAAGAAGGGAGAGGTTCGTGGTGAGCTCCAGCATCTCTTTCCCCCTAGAAAAATCGAACCATCTAAATAACCTCTTTTATCTGGTGGTCTGCTTGCTGCAGGGAAGTATGAAGACATCGGAGAAGCGCAAACCACAAGCGGGAGATGCCGTGCCCGGCGCCGGGAGTTCCACATCATCCTTAAGTTATGCAGCGTCACCAGCCTTCAGCACCGGATCCCCTTGCCCACTCCTTGGGTGGTGGTGGTGCCCTGTGAGCAGAGTCCGTGCCGCACGGGACGAGGCAGCTGCGTGCGTCGATGTGTGTGTGTCCAGGGTCCATGCATATGTGGCAACTGTTGGGTTTGAGTGCGCGAGAGGCAGCCTGGCGGTGGAGACGAGAGACAGCCACACCTGCTGACGGCTCTTGGCGGATGCACGGACCTCCCAGGACCACATACCCTTGCCCTCTCCTGCTTCACCCAGATTCTGGGTGGGGGGAGTAAGAGGCAGACGGAGTGTACTCCCTTTGACAAGGACCTTTGGGGTGGGGCAGTGGGGAGGGGTCTTTCCCAAACAATGCACTTAGGACTGTTATCTTGTACCATGCCCAGACGCCTGGGCATTAACACTATTGTGGGATGCTTCCAACCTAATGCCCTCCCTCTGTCCCACAATTAACAGTTCTTCCTGTGCAAAACTCATTGAAAGAGCAAGAGTTTATGCCTGCTGTGCTGGTACAGCCCTGCTGTTAGATGGTGGGGGGTATTGTCCCATTGCCCATGCTGAAATAAGATTCGACTGCTAGCAGCCAACTGACTTTGTCTGGCCCTGGGGGTCAGATGGATCTCTGTCTCTCGCTTCGCTTCTGCTCCCTGTGGGCACCCTTCCTTGCCTCTTGGTCTGGACATGAGCAGAATGGCCAGATCAAGGAAGCAAACCCAGATGGCGAAGCTGGCTGGTCTTCCACTCTGTCTCCCTTTCCGTACTGCGGAGACCTCTGCAGCGAGGCCACGATCCCAGGTGCAGTTGTAGGGTGTGGGGAGGGGTGGATCTGTCCTAATGAGAAGGTCCTCCTGCCTTGACAACATGTCTGATGAGTGAAATGGCATGCATGGCTGCTATCTTCTGCAAGGGCACCCAGGATGCTGGTGAGGGCACGTAAATGGTTGGCGTTGCTCTCTGGTTGTGCCCAGGAAAGCCATCCACCAAGGGGGTCCTGCCAACCTGCTGGCGATAGCCCACATGGGTTCCAAGGTCCCATGTCCTGTGTATGCTGCAACATTTGCCCTGGCTTTGCACCCAAGTGTCCTGATTCCACCCGGGGGGGGGGGTTGCCCAGCAGGGGAACAAAGAGGGAAGCCGAATGTCGGGAAGGAGCAGAGAAGTGGGAGGTCTGTGCTGGGAAATCCAGGTTCTGGAGTAAGGGGGGGAAGTTGCTGGGCGAGGGCGAAGTGATGAGGAATGGCAGTGCAAAGTGGGCAGCTGAACGGGTGGAGAGGCCAAGTGGCCCACATAGACAGACGGCAGAGCCAGACGCAGGCCAGGAAGTTGGGAATACGAGAGACTGGGATGGAGTAGAAGATTCAGGGCCTGCACTGCTTGCCATTCTCAAAAGAGGCTGTGCTGTCTCCGTGGGGATGTTGGCTTAAGGACTCGAGGCATAGGAGACCCCTGGGCAAATGATGAGGGCAGCAGACTGGGGTCCCACCCCCCACACACTTTGCAACCCTGCTCTCCTTTATTGGGAAATGTGGAGGCGAAAGGACCCCTTCTCCCCCCCACCAAAGTGAATCCCCGTTGTCCTGAGCTCTCTTCCTTTGCCCTGGTGGCAAATTGGGGCACCTGCCCCGTCCTTCCCTTCCCTTCCTTTCACCTCCCTCTGGCAATAATAAGCTTGCAGGCCTCCCAGTTTGATGGGGACCCTGCTTGCTTCGCTCTCTACGGGGAAAACCCAAAGCACAGAGTGTCGTTCTCCTTTTCTGGGAGCAGGGCGTGGGTGTCTGTCGAGAGCTTCCTGCCCTTTATACCCGTAATAAGTTGGCATTGGGGGCTACACTGCGTAGAGCAGAGACTGCAAGGGGGAACTGAGGGAGACCCTCTTCCCCACCCCAGTCCATTTCCCTGTGCATGATTTAGCCGGCTGGTGTATTTTTTTTTCCTGTGTGTGCGTTTTCAATTTGCCTATTTATTAAGCTTAACTCTTTCCCTAGCACCCACCTCAACCCCCCCGCCCCCGGCGAGGCCAGTTCCTTTTATACCACTTTATGTATTGACGGTCGTGACCCCACCCCTCCGCCCTTGTCCTTCCTGATATCGGGCAGATGTCTTGGTTTCGGCCGTCCCTCTAATGCTAATGTCCCTTGCTCAGTGCCGTCAGTGTCACAGATAAACCATTAAACATAACCCAGATCTCTGACTTGGTGTTTTTCTGTTTTATGTGTGTGTGTGTGTGTGTGTGTGTGTGCGCGCGCAATGGAAAGTGGGGGTGGAGGAGAGAAATCCTCTGTGTGGAATTATTATTGGTACTATTATTTATTAAATTCTGCCCTTCATTGAAGAGCTGTTTGGCGGTGGGACGGACTCCCTGCTTGGGGAGGTTTTTCAGCAGAGGTTGGATGGCCACCTGTCATTGATGCTTTAATTGAGATTCCTGCATTGCAGCGGGTTGGACTAGATGGCCCTTGGGGGTCCCAACTCTATGATTGGAACTTCATGGGGCAGTATACATGGAGCACATACTAAAAAAAGACAATAACTTCAAACAAAGGCCTATTTGAAGAAGAACGTTTTTGCCTCGCGCCTAAAGATACATAAGGAAGGTGCCAGGCAGGCCTCCTTGGGGAGCGTATTCCACAAACGGGGAGTCACTGCAGAAAAGGCCCTGCTCACATGCATACCCTCCAACATTTCTCCGAATAAAATTCCAGAATGATAATGTTACTATTTATACCCCACACATCTTACTGGGTTGCCCCAGCCACTCTGGGCAGCTTCCAGCATTGTAGAACAGTCTCATGCTCTACTTGGGTGGCCAGACTCAAGCAGCCACTTGCCTGTGTTTCTAAAGGTTGGGGGTTGAAGCAGCAGGAGGGGCAGGTGCCCATTTTTGTGCGCCTGACAAAGCTGTGGATGAAGTCCTTTGCACACACATGCACATTGATTCTGCTCTGTTTGAAATGCCGTGGCAGAAGCAGCACGTTCCCTGCAAACCTAAGGGCTGACTCAGCTGCTCATCGAGTCACTCTTTCCAGGGCAGATCGATAATGCACTAATTTGCATAACAGCGTCTTTCAAGGAAGCCCATTCGCGGCGACGTCCTTTGCCGTTCGCAGAAGAAACTCATAATGGAAACGAGAAGTGCTTTCCCTTTTATTTCCCCTTTGCTCTACACCGCAGAGCTCTCGAAGCACTGCCCTAAATGGGGCGATGAATCAGGGCCCCTATCCACAGGGCCCCAGCATTGGGGGAGACCTCGGATCGAGTCCTGATGCTGCCCAGCTCCCTTTTTGCTGCCCCTCTCGCCCTGGTCTTGGATTTCTCACGGGCTTCTGAACGGTTCCTCTGAACAGCCGCGCTCTTAAACAGACATTTCCTTCCTCCCACGGTGGTTTTGCCTGAAGGGCTGCCTTGTGATGGCTCTGCCCTCATTTCCCACCTGTCCGCTGGGTGAAATGTTGAGGACACCCTCTGCCCTCATCGCTTTCCCCAGGGCCTCCTTCTTGCCAGGCTGCATCCTCGGCGGCCTCCTGGTAGTCTCCGGTGGCCCCTGACGGCAGTTCCTCTGGGGATCCTTGCAGATAATGGGCTCCTCATCCCGGACTTGAATGATGAGGTGGCAGCAACCCACTGCTGCTGTGGTAAGTAGGCAAGCGCAGGGAGGGCAAGTTTTGCAGGGGGTCGACAAGGGAACTGGCAATATCCTAAGGCAGTCCTTCAAATCTACGGGGTCTGGCTGCCACTTGGGAATCTTGAGTGCTGTTCTGGGGTCCCACGGCTACAGAAGGAGATTGTGGAGCTGGGTTAAGGTTCAGAAACGCTGCCACGGAAATGTTCCGGGGGCTACATCGACTAATGCTGT